TAAATAAACTTATATTTTTCTAAATTGGAAATGATGGTGTTTTTATGTCATGACTGTCATATAATGTTATATTTCAGTGTATTGCAAATATGGCAATATTTACAGCAGGTGGATACATACATATACAGTGAACGGGGGAGGCTATTATTAATATAAAGAATTCAACCACGATCCATCAATACATTGACAAGTGTAGTAATCCGCTGAACAAAGCAATACATCATCCCTATCACCATTCGCCATAGGTTGCGTCCTTATGAGCATTTCAATAATAGAATTGTAATTTAAGTGCGGATTGTCTAATTATTTCACAGTTGCCGAGACCATGGTAATCCGATCTAGCTTTCTTTTGCTATTACATACAAAATATACTCGTACTTTATATGCATATATGCGCTTTCTCTCTATAATTGGATTTAAGAAGGGTAGCTAATTATGACGAAATGGCACTTCTGAATTTTAAGGCTTATTAAAACAGTTAGTTCAAAATGGCGTCGTCAGCCTTTTTAAGCCGCGTTTCAATTTACTTGATGATATTTGATGGCATTTTTGCTTAAGGGGAGTGGTTTTAATGTCATTTTTACCATCATTTGCAGTTCCATTTGAATATAACATATTTGAAGTGATGACACTTTTGTCAAAGCTTGTGCAATTTCGTGATACCGTTGCCTTTTGAATTTCTTGTAATATATTCTGATATCTACCTCGCGTCTCTAAATTCCATTTTTTAACGAATTCAAACTTATTAAATATTTTAATTGATCATGAGTAGATGTGGTAATCAAAGATGGCCGGAGATCCGTTTAACGTTTAAAGGTATTGAATATGCAGATATTGCACATTTGACCAACAGTACACTTGAAACAAAGTCTGTTTTACATCCACTATATCAATCCAACGAAAACACATCTCCGAAGAATCTAATAAAAAGTGACATTATAGCTTCTATATTGGATTCAGACAATTATTTCATGATTTATTATGTTGAAAGATCTTATTAGACGTCAATATATCAGGTATCTTACCTCTAGAAAGATAATTTCTGTTTTAAATGTTACAAATGAAAAACACCAATAGTAACTGGATCGAACGCTTGATCGAGTTTTGGCGTGTATATTACTGTACTTTAAAGAGTTTTTATACAAGTAATGGTCTAGAGCAAAATATCAAATTAATATTGATTCATTAAAATATTAAGCCTTAATCAGATCAGGACCCTGTTAACGCATCCTATGTACAATGTTCTATGTTCCCTGTTCATTGCCCAGAAGGATTTTGGGTCGTATTCAATTAACCTTTCCATTTAGACATTACTATAGCCTAGCTACAAGCCATTGTGAGCCTCCCCCCAAATTACACACCCCCACTGTGTGAGAAGGTGTGAAGTCAAGTAACTAAACTAATTCAGTTGACAAATAATAACAACTGCACTCTTTAGGATTACCATAGCGATAGTATATGATTCGCCTCTTTATAAAAGAGCTTTGTCTACATAATGTACTTGGATCTGACTAATGGTATTCAAGACATGATCCAGACAACTCTCCCATTCTCCACGTTCCCTCGGAAAGCAGCGTTGACATGCATACGTCGCATTCCATTTGTTGCATGTAACAAAACAAGTCAGACCGGTTAATTCCCAGCTTTTGCCAAGGGGTTTCACTTTTTAAAAATCCCAGGTTCATATTTGACAATTTGGTTCAAAATCACTTAAAAGCCTAGAAGGATGAAAAACTACATGCTTTTGAAAAAAAAACATTTTGGCGGTGGGGCTTCCCAACCCCCTGGCTACGGGCCTGAAAATAGATTATCATATAATTGTACTTTATCTATACTCGTTTCTTCTATATTCTTCACTACAACCGAGATACCTGTAATAAACTTATATCACTAGATCACAAGCAACCTTTATGTGCATAACTCTAATTGTAATAAATATGAACCATTCTATATGTTGCACATATCAGTGATTAACTATACAAAATAGATTATCATATAATTGTGTTTTATCTATACTCGTCTCTACTATATTCTTCACTACAACGGAGATACCTTTAATAAACTTATATTACTAGATCACAAAAGTGACATTAATGTGCATAACTCTAATTTAGCAGAGCATTAATGTTTCTATAGCTCATAATGCTCATTGCATCTGCTGTCTAATTGACGTTTGATCATCATGATCTCATACAAACATGGCATGTACAATTGAAAATGCCAAAGTACTCTATAAAATTACAGTCGGAATCTTGTTACGTAAACTGGTAGTTCGTAACTAATTGGACTAACGTTGATTGGAGTATTGGAGATATTCTGGGTCTACAAATTCAAAGTACCACGAGAGTAACACACTCTACTATACCTTGCATTTGGTGTTCATGAGCAACCCATTTGACTTATTAGCAATGCTTGTATTATTTCTTTTTATGTGTCTGTTCCTTATGAATGGTTTATCGGATGACTGTTACATGTTAATAAGGTACTTTAAAAAATATACTAAACAATACAATTAGACAAACAGAATATCATGCATTTCTAGGGGTTAGGTATAGTAGAGTGAACATGGCTCAAAACCTGTGACCCCCTTATCTACTTTAACCTGTTGTAAAATAGATAGTGGGGCGGGGGCTCAATACTGGAGAGGTTAAGCTTTGCATATATAATCGAAACTGAACCTGTACGTATCACTCGACCATATACAAATTCATGTAGCCTTCTCATATAAATAGCCGTTCAAATCCAGTGTTTGTTTAGACTACACCATAGCGTGTAATGATTCTATAGTATGTCATTGATGCGGTTTTATGGCTGGTTTTCTAATACATATTTTAAACGAGCTCGTTTCGTAAGATTTTTGGCGCTAAATCATGCATGACATACATCATCGTGTTCAGCAAGAATTCAACTGTGTATCGAAATCAAAATTGACAGCATAGTGTTCAATAGACACGAGTAAAATGGTTCCCGTTGACCCAACGTCAAATTTCAAATTATCCCGTTCTAAACCCGAAACTCTGATGCTGAAAGAGTATCTGAAGTAGACTAAGCGCGCATAAAACTATGAGCGCTCGATACATTCCTTTGTTAATTTTTGTACTTTGCGTTCACGGTTACGTTGTGAAAAACATCGTTAGCTTAACCTCTCCACTAATGGCATATGTGACCGTGGAAATGCTTATATCGGCAATTTAGCTCGCACAACCTCAGTAGAAAATGCGACCGAGAAATTACCAGCTGCTGTAGTTTGCCCAAGGGAAATATTAATAGTATTTATAGATTGAAAAGTAAAACCAGTCATAGAAAACAAACCCAAACATCCATACACTGATTTATGGACGTAGAAACATTGTCCAATATCATACCCTTCTTGAAAATAAAGATAATAGAAATATTAAACTCAGAATCATGAGGAGAGAGACATGAGTTGTCCAACCACTTGTCTTTATGGTTTTTGAGGACGCTATGGGAAGTCTACGAAAATGGCTGTAAATGACAAATGAGCCAACAAGGAGCAGGCAAAGGGGTCTCATCACAGATTTTTTTTGTAATATTTCGCTTTTTGTTTATCTTTAAAAGCACAAATATCTTTTCAAATGAGCCGTGACTTTAATCTCAACAATTTGTATTGTGGATATAGACCAAAACCATTTATGTAAAAACACATTTTCCTCTTAATCTTTGGCACATTTTTAGCTCTAGCACAATTTCAATTTTTGTGATAAGACCAGTTTTCCTATGTCGAGGCTCAAATAATGGTGACATGGTTCACATCTTATGAATAAAAAATTTGTGAAAAATTACATTTTTTAATTTTACGGAAAAAATCAACATTTGAAAAGTTTAACTTTTTTTTACAAACATCTTCACGTGATATTCGATATAATGTATCCTTCCAATTATAATATTCTTCGGACAAACAAAACAATTGTTAACCTCTCTATTCGGTCAACTGACAAATGTGTATACCTCAACTGTAAGCCTTGAAAATACTGTTGACCGAGACCGGAGGTATACAATTTTGCCAGTTGACCTCAGAGAGGTCTACAATTGTATACTGTATGATGATACAGTGATGTATACAATCCAAAATACAATAGGATTGGGTGTCAACAAGCTTGTAACCGAGTTGCCTTATAGGTAACACATCTTAGCACTCCTTCGCAGAGATGCGAGATTTTAATTTCAGTGTATATACCGAATCCGATTACCACCTTCTTGATGGCATCAGGTGAAGGTGACGCTGCTTCCTTGATTTACTGTCTAATACCGTTCTAAGTCTTTACTGTCGTGACTTATACCCTGCCATGTAATCATTGTAATCATGACTTGGCCACGGTCACAGAGTGAAACAAAATGGTAATGAGAGAAAATAACAAAGGATAAACTGAACCATACAAAAAACATTTGAGTCTGTAGGAAAATCGGCTTTTAATTAATTAATGACAAATTGTTAACTAATTCTTGTGAAATTTATTGAAAGGTATAATATGCTATCATCCGTGAGCAAAATTACAAATTACCTGTACATGTGTGCATTGATTTTTAGTAACCATGACAACAGGGAAATTAAACAGTTGATCAAAATAACTGGAGATGATACTCTTATTAAGCGGTACATGTATTGATGAATCTGAAAAACAATCTAACAGTCAACACACACGTTCCGCCAAAATAGAAATTGTTGTGTTAGGACCTTGAGATTTATGCGATAATGCCGAAAAAGAGATCGGTCAAAAAGTAAATCCAATATCTTAAAAGGTTTATATCCACGGAGTAGATGCCTTTACTTGAATGTAATGAGAGACGCTAATTTCTATTTGCGCTTGAGACGTTTTTGAACTATAAATCAGGTGTAAATAAATCAGGTCTGTCTAATAAGTATGTATTGCGTTTCTCGGAGATAATAGACTTAACTAGAGAAATGAAATGAATTTATAGTCATTTAGTTTGACCAATGTAATTTATAGATCAATTAACAGTGAGTCATATACTTTCAGGCCTATCTCCACAACACAAATGGTATGGCTGACATGAGGTGGGGCTTATAGAAAGGAAGCACTGGGATGACTTCCCCGAGAGTAAATTCACCACCAGTTAAAGTTAACACAGAGCTGACATTAAGACCACCGTCCCCTGACAATGGACTTCTACCGACAACTTCTGGTTTACGCTCCATTTCAGCACTCGATATGCGGGAAAACGGACACATCAACCCTGCTTCCCGGATGTCACGTGCTCTCTCCATTGCCGGAAGTAGCGATGGCGCATGCTCAGAAATCATCCGCGTGGAACAAACAGCTGAGGCGGATGAACAATTTAATGTCACAACCTTTGGGAAATTGGTCAGAACGATGCAAGTAAGAGCTTCTAAACCTTTAGTAGATTTTAAACATGCCTACACACATACTAAAGTCTCACATGGGGTCATGGTTTCAAATCTTAATTCCCAATCTAAAAAAAGCCCAAACAAGAATATTCAAAAATCAAATTTAGGCCAAAATGCCCTAATACGTCACTTCCGCTGAATAAAAAAAATATAATTAAAAAAAATGAGTGTAGTCCCAACACAATTTTGATCATGACGAGTTCTCAAGCTGGTACATATATGGGTATGGATGTCATTTTTTTGCAATGATAACACGCCATTTCTCTGAAAAGTGTTCATTTGAGTCATCTGAAGTAATATTTTTAGTCAAATTGTTGAATAGTGCAATGGTGAATTTGAAAATTAAGATTGCTTATGGTAGACTTATGCAAACTTGTCTCCTGAACTTGTAAAACCTCAAAAATGACCCCAAATGACTTTAGTTCTTTATCATATTTTACGGTGAGGGCGTGTTTGAAATCTAGTGTATGATTTAGGTGTCTTTCTTGCATCTTCTCGACGGTTCTAAATAATAAACCATTATCCTAGTAGAAATTGCTAGTTCCAACCATCCTTCATTTCCAGGGCCACATCCCTAGTGGCACATCCCTAATCACATATTCCAAAAAGCCCGACTTCTACCAACCCTGATTTCTCATTATCTACCATGGCTGTTTATCTCAAATGCCCCTTGCCTCTTTGATATCAAATTACCAACCACCAAAAATGCCCTGACGTACCATTTCACAAATGCCCTGACATGCCTTTTCACAAATGCCCTTACATACCTTTTCACAAATGCCCTTACTTACTTTTTCACAAATGCCCTTATTTACCTTTTCACAAATGCCCTGACGTACCTTTTCATAAATGCCCTTACATACCTTTTCACAAATGCCCTACATACCTTTTCACAAATGCCCCTACTTACCTTTTCACAAATGCCTTTACTTACTTTTTCACAAATGCCCTGACATGCCTTTTTAACAAATGCCCGTACATGCCTTTTCACAAATGCCCTGACATGCCTTTTCACAAATGCCCTTACATACCTTTTCACAAATGCCCTTAATTACCTTTTCACAAATGCCCTTACTTACCTTTTCACAAATGCCCTTACTTACCTTTTCACAAATGCCCCTACATGCCTTTTACAAATGCCCTTACTTACCTTTTCACAAATGCTTTTAAATGCCTTTTCACAAATGCACTAACATGCCTTTCACAAATGCACTAACATGCCTTTCACAAATGCACTGTCATACCTTTCACAAATGCCCTGACATGCCTTTTCACAAATGCCCCAACATGCCTTTTCATAAATGCCCTGTCATGCCTTCTCACAAATGCACTGACATGCCTTTTCATAAATGCCCTGACATACCTTTTCATAAATGCCCTGACATGCCTTTTCATAAATACCCTGACATGCCTTTTCATAAATGCCCTGACATGCCTTTTCATTAATGCCCTGGCATACATTTCACATATTTCCTGACATATTTCTCAGCACAGGAAGCAGCCCGATTTCTACTAGGAAAATGGTCAGATAATGTCGTTTTGTGAGTGAGCGACGATTTTTCAATTGATAACAAGCTAGAAATGGTCACTAGATGTACATGTGCATTTTAGTAAAGTCCATTGATATCATGATACATTTATAGCATGTTATAACATATGATTTAAAATACTATCTAATCACTATTGTTGATATTGACATCAAATACTGTAGTTGATGAAGTGATATCATTCAAAAGCACATGATCTCGTTATATTAATTGGTAACATGAGGTTGATTTTAATCTCCAAAATTGTATATAGAATTTTTTTTTAACCAATGATTATTAATTGGTAATACGAGGTAGACATTTGTTTCAATGATTGTACATAAAGCGTCTTATAAACTCATGTCTTTATCGATAAGTGTAGAATTCGGTAAACAGATTCACAGACATTCCACATGCGTGAAATAACAACACAAAGAATTACAGGGTGTGCCAAACTGCTACGCTTAATTTGTTTTGCCTGTTCAAAATGCCTGCCCACCCTGTATGACAAGGATATATAAATAATGGTATTGCTTGTTATCGTTGCACTAACACGTTGGTACAATCATGGGATATAATGACCGTAACTCGTCTAAACCAATTATTTTGATATTTAGTGTTTGGAAAGTAATCATTGTCAGCAATAACATTTTTCGCGAAACAGGTAAATAGCACGTTAACAATGCAGTCATTGACACCTCGTTAACAAGTCACACCATGCTGACATGTAACAATATCCTATTATGTGTAAATACTATGTTTATTCTGTAGAGCATATCATTTTTCCATTAGTTGGATATCAATTTCTGCAACTGACAAGCTAAAACATTTATTGGGTTTGGATTGTGCTACCGAACGAAAATATATCACATAAAGCGTCGTATATGTATAGTAGCTATAATGCAATCTGACGTCGGACCATGGGGAGGTTAAGCGCTGCGTTAATATATGGAGGTTTAGATACACGTTTTTGAAAAAAAAACTTGTACTCGAACGTGTAGAATTATGGTCCCTGATGGATAAGTTCCTCCATTTTTAGTGTTTCCTAAGCCGATTGAGTAGTAAGGTATACGGAAAACAATTGTAGTTAGGTCCCTGGAAAAGTGAATTGAGAGCGGGACAGTTATCCCCGGGGTTCGAGATATGACACGCTCGCGTACAAGTTCTCTTTAAAACGTGTAACTAACCTCCTTATTAAGAGTTCTTTACGTGAACGTGTGGAACTATGGTCATCTTTGGATTAGTTCTCTCCTAGAGGTATTTAATTGCATGGACGACGGTATAAGGGAAATTGTTCCAATTAGGTCCATGGGAAAAAACAAGTGAACGGAGTCCCCGAGGGTCATAATGTAACACTATCACGTACAGATTCCCTTAAAAACGTGTAGCTTAACTTCCCTAGTACTTACGCTCATCACTTTCAGATGTAAGAGTGTAACTCCCATCGTAATTGCACTTTTCACGATTCCCTGTCACCTTAAGAGAACGGCGATTCGCTATCACTGTAACTGTTGATCAAAACAATATTTGAATCTCAAAATACAATGCTTCCCCAATAGTTTCATTATTGACTTCAAAAGAACGCTAAGGAGATTCAATGTCATCCTGAATGATTCATTGCTATTCTCCAAGATTACTTTTCATTTCGATATGGCTATTGCGAGAGAGTCATGGTTCAAACATTGACTGCTCTTTTATTCAATTCGTCAATATATTTAAGGTTTTATGCTGTTATATATAGCCTTCTGTATACCTACAAACTTAACACGAGGCATTCTAGCCCTTTGTAATACTTGCACTGTCAGTATGCAGTTATAATTTGGGCCAAGTCGGGCAGTTGAATCGTAAACAGAAATCAAATTCTAAATTGTACCCGGCCTGTTACATGCAGTGCAATGAAGCTGAACTAAATATATCCTCTCATTCACTTAAACGTATCAAACCACTGACCCCTGCTTGAATAGTCAATACAAAAAAATCAAGATGTCCACATCGGATCGTGGACCATTTACCTTTCACAGGAGTCCATGGGGTTTTAGGATAAATAATAGCCTTGAGCAACAGCCCTCCACTGGGTCTAGAAGCTAGCAAGAGGGGGAGGGGGCACATTTCAAGTCAGGAAAAATGTCTATAGGGACCAAAAAGGGCCATTTACTGAGGCACCACAAACATTTTTTCTGGGCCCATCCAAGGCCCCTCTGGAACCGCCAGTTGCCCTCGGCTATCTGACGTATATATAAATATATGTTCCGAGACTTGAGAATTAATATGCAATGTCATTTCGAATTGGAAACTTCTGAGACGAGGTTTCGCAAGTTGCCCGGATGTGACCGAGCAAAAGCCTAGATTCAAGTGTCTTCTCTCAAAGAAAGGCCTTTCTTATAGAAACTGCCAGTCATCATATAACTTCGCCTTTCTGGCCATTTAAGGAAAGTGTCAATTCCTGGATTGTCGGGTGTAACTCCGCTTTTTTGCCCATTTATGGAGAATGCCACTCCGAGTTCACTGTTTTGTGTTGAAGTGAGATTTTCCTAGATTTTCCCCCTTGATATCTCGATATTTAATGGATGATTTGCGGTCAGTATACATCCCTCATCAGTATATATCTTAATAACATACATGTATTGCCGCGTGGTTTAACATTTTGGTTTTGACAGAAATTCGATCAAAAAACTATATTTTAGAATTTAAGGAAACTATCTAGAAACAATCCTCCTCAGGGATAGACCTAGCCTTGTTATTTATGAAAACCCCAATATTCATACTTTATCCATAACAGAACTTATTACCTGGATCGTTGGTTCCTCGATCATTGGGGGATAAACCAATTGACTTTTTCCATAGATGGAAAATAGATGGCATCATGGGTATTTGTAGGGCCATGGTAGGGCAAGAATGCATGTAAATGTATTGCCAGAGTCACTTCATTTCTTAATTTAAGAAGTTACACCATTGTAATGTAACTATATGATTTTATTGACATGTGAATTGTAATTTCACATTAAAATTGTGATCCTTGTAAGATTAAATGAACTTTTAAAGGTTTTTCAGCTTTGTGTCAATCGGGATTTAGCCCGACCATTTTTTAAACAACTAAAAAAATCATTAGAATTTGAATAAAGGTAAATAACAGTGGAAATCAAAGTTGTTTTGATAGAAAATTACACAGAGAATTCAAATATGCCATCAAATGGAAGAAAATTTTAGTCTTTAATGGTTAAAAATGCAGATCTCCTAAAATCTCATTAAAACGAGGCTTAAACGAGATTTCAAAGCTACATGGAAAAAGGACCATTGCACGTTGCGCCCTCATTGCGCTTCATATATCATTCAAGCACTAGATTAATCTGTTATGGCCAAAGGAAATAGGAAAACTCGTTTGAATCCAAAGAGCATGTGATTTGGCAACAAATCAGAATGCTAATCGCATATTAAGGAGGCCTTCTGTTACTCTAAAGGAACTGGGATCCAGAAGATAAATTGAATTGAACGCATGATCTGCACCTTCATAAGGTTCATAACTTAGTATTGACATTTGCTATCCAAATCATATTCTGTAAATGTATGTACTTTGTACATATATTTCTAAGTTTACTTTTTAGTCTAGAAATGCCACCAGACATGGGTTTAGTACATTTACGAAAATCACATTCGATTCGATAAATGTTGAAATGGGAAGGGATTGAGTACATGGCGTCGAGAAAAACTGTGTGGTTCATCGTATATGTATTCCCCATGCCTTTTAACAATGCCGACCGATTAGCATTTTGATTGGTAGCATTTTATGAACACTTGAATTTAAAAAGCACCGTCGATGTCCTCTGACAAGTACGCATGTATTACGCATTCAGGTGTTCATGCGTATTTACGCATTCACGTCTCTGACATTTTTGCAAACTATCAGATAATGTTTCAAAGTTATGTATTCTAGTTTATTCGGTCATGGGCTGGTGGAAAAAGACCGAGCGAAACGATCCAGCGTCCCGACTCTTTCCTTGAGCGATTTGCGATGGGCGGGCAGGACCCAGGGACCCAGGAGGAGCCAGCTCAGAGTAGGAGCAGGAAGATATCGGACCCGACGTAAGTTTTCGTACATGCTTGCTACTTTCTTGTAGCTATTATTCTGTAGTTTTTGAAATGTGCTCTTGCAACTGATTTCCGTATAATTTGCCAATAGTGCATCACCTGGAGTTGTACAAAATGTGATTCTCTCCTTGACAAGACCTGACTACGGGCTTGATATACATGTACCATGGTATTTTGATATCATGTTTAATAAACAATATTGATAAATTGTCTGTGTTGGAGGATTTGATTAACTTGTAAACATAACACGTCTATAACAGATAGAAAGTGGATAATATGCTTTCATATGATGCATGCAGAACAACGATGCATGTCATTTCGTTACGAATCAGTCACACTTTTTTTTGTTTTGTAACTGGCACAATGCTCGTATATAATTAATCGCGCGCATTCTTCGCGTGCATTCTTCAAATAAGATGTTTCTTATAATGGCCATTATGTTGTATTGCCACAAATTGCTCTGACCATAAGTGGAACAGGATTTGAAATCGGATCCCCCGGTATACAGTCCTTAATATCCCTGCAACTGATTTGATTAGATGATATATAAGGGTTATGTACTGGGAGGTTTTGGATACAGTGTTTATCCCGCGGGAAATATGTGTATCTCCCTCGGGACCGCAAACCGACCGTACATAACTGGTGTATCTCATACTTGAGTGGGTTTGGGGTAGATATAACCTTTACCACATGCACCTTTTTCAAATGACAAGATAGGCCTATACTGTAAAAGCACAATTTATATTTAACATTTTCATAATATTCCGTCAGTTCAATACAATAGAATTGTAACATTTAAACTTTTTGAAAAAATTTAAACTTCTGAAATTTAAATTTAAAATTTTTTTAAACTTTTGAAAAAATTCCCGGGAGCGGGATGGATATATCATATCTGACCGCATTTGGCCTAGAGCGGGACATATACAGTATATCTTACCCGCTCCTCAGATATGATAATATATTCCCGGGTGATATCTACCCCAAACCCACTTAAGTATGAAATTCATCCTATTATAAGTTGAATAGTCTATCCAGTGGTATATCCCCCGTGGGTATATCACACGCACATAGTAATGGAATCTTGAGAAATATGTATCAAATATAAGGAATAAAGGTCTCTATACATAGGTAGCGATCTGAGGCACTTCGATCAGGGTGTTGTCGGGACAATTTCTCTTGTGACTTAGGTTATGTATTTAGGTCTATCTCAACAGATTTTACTGGTCTTATGCGCCGCAAATGGTGCGAAAGATGTTAAAATTGCATTTTCGACCCTAAAATTCAGATTTCTTAGGGGTACATTATTATTTAGCTATAAAACAAAAACTAAACAACCAATGCTTCTTTCTTTTGGTGTTTCTGTTAAGAGTAATCATACTTAAAATGCATATGTAAAAAAATTGAAGAATTTTAACTTTATTTAAAAACAGCAACATTTTTTCACCCTAAAATCATTGAATTTAGGGGGGTTGAGAGACATTGATTGGAATTGATTTTTTAATTTCTCAATCAATCTCAGTTTAATATTAATGGAACTTTCCTAAAAGTAGCACCAACATGTCCCCAACACATTAGTATAAAGAAAAAACTCAAACTCAAACATGTTTTTTGCCTATATGGGTCAATTTACCTCTCCCCTCTTTCCCTTATAAAAGGGGTGTGGCCATTAATACATGTCGATTTAAACAGTAGCATGATGTCACATTAAATGAATACATGTACATATCATGTATTTTATCAAATATATTACCATAAAATATTTTCACTTAGGTGTATAGTGTATACATATAGTACATACCTGTGAATTATTTATAATACAATATTTTTTCTATGTAGGCTCGAGATATAAGAATATTAAAAATCTGAAGTTGAATATTATCTAATACACAGTTCACGACTCAGTCATAATATTAATTTTACTCATTGTATGAATTTCTGTCATCACAAATGTAGTTTTTATTCACCAGAATATATTTGATCCATAAAGCTTTGTATTTCGTAAACTTCCTCTTCATTTTGATCTTCTAAAGTATCATCTAATACGATAACATCTACCAGGTCCTGGGGTAGAATTTTATCTGGATTTGATACCCATTGAAATCCAAATGGCCATCTTTCATCCTCCATCCATGTGACACAGGGGACGGAATTGATGGGGAGGGGATGTTGGCAAGTTTCCATATGTGTGCTTGATAACTGGCCCTTGCCAGATGCTGCTGTAATGAATCTTTACGGGGTAGGAGGCTTATTAGCTTCATAGCTTGTTATCACACTTGGAGCAGATTTTGGTTGAAATTTGTTCTTGAATAAGGTATATCTCAGCTCATTTATATTTGAACACTTTTTGTTTCCATACATCTGGCAAGTAAACTTCTCAGCACATTTAGCAGTTTGATCACTTATGACCCCTCCAATGGTGCCGAAACCTTTTTGAAATTCTCATAAGTAATTTTAGGGGGGGGGGACACTTTCTCCCTTCTCACAAAGGCACTGAAGGAATCACATCCAGTGAATTAATGGAAGGCTGGTAAAGCATTACAAATTTACAAATGTCTGAACTGAGCGCATTTCCTACTTCCTTTACATTAAAGGGGCAACAAGGGACTGTAGAGAGAAAATTCAATTTTTTTTCTGAGCTATCAGGTCAATATTTGGCTTAGCATCTTCTTTGACATATCTATTTTCTTAAAATGTATGGATAAACTCTCAATTTAGAAGTGTAAATTCAGTTCAAAGCTTCTATAAAGGGAGTCCCACTTATAGATTTTTAAGATTCACCACGTTTCAAGAGGAATATCAGCTGAAATAATGTTTATCAAGGGGGTTTCTTTGTAGATAATAAAAATATATGTTACTCTTGATGAAATATCCAAACTTAAATATATTTTGACACAGGTCGATGATCGTTGAATTACCCCCCTGCACTAATTGTTGCACCTTTAATAAGTCATATGTGGTCTGCACTACCAGTGTCAAAAATTAATGGAGTTTGAATAAGATTGGAAAGTGCACAAGAAGTACAAAACATCGCTATCTGGGGATCTCACAACTATAGTTTTTTCTGTATTTTCAGGTTCATTTCATGTTAATTGCATGGATTATAATTTTTGTATCTCCCTCTTTTTGGGCAGATTTCAGGCTTGATTCAACTCTATGTGTAACAGTAGTTCTATCACTGGTTACCACTGCACAGATCTCACCACATGAATCTGTCTTTCTTTGAGTTTAGGAGCATTTTTATCTTTTTCCATTCTTCAAGGATCAACTGACTCAGCTGCATTTCATTCTCATCATTTAAAAGGAATTCCTTCCAATTGTTAGGAATTCTGGTATTAGGTCCTTTTATTATTAGCTTTTTGGAGACACGCCTGCGTATTCTTTCTGGTTCTTTAATTGAATCTTTCTTATAGGAAGCATCTGAAGGATCCTCTCTGCCAATAATCCAAATGTTTTGGGTCACTCAGGAAGTATATGGAACAATGCATTGCCATCATAGACTATAATAATTGTTTTTTCTGGTTTTGGTCCATGTAATATTATATGTCTCCAGCTCATGTAATAATTTTGACTTTTCTGTTTTAACCAAGAGCCCATCAGGTGTTCCAAGAGCCCAGGGTATTGGACTCGGGGGGATATTCCAATATTCACTTTAGACTGATACTATTATGCTCTGATAACATGACTAACTGGCCAAATGTATTGCGCTCAGCTCTAATCTCAATCAGTTTGTTTCCAGAGCTTTTCACCTTTTTGACTCCAGCATTGAATTCAGATGTTTTCAGTTTCATTCTTTTATGGGGTCATGAAAACTTTTTCCCTTCTGCACAAATTGGTCTTGAATAAATTGCTTAAAGGCTTGTGTGCCCTTGGATGCTGCATTTAAGAGATCATCTGCTAAATTAGAGGGTGTTGGCATTCCAGATGATATGCAGTATAAATGATCATTGTCCTCAATTTGGAATGGATTGAGAAAGCCATCAATTGAATCAATCAAATTAGTTAATAATAGAACATCAGACAGTAATAAGCCTTGAATAGCTTACTATTCTCCCTTATTGTTTTGCTACATGTTCCCTGCAAATAATAGATAGCAATTTATAATTGCAATTAGATAATCAGTTTATTAATTAAAGTTAAATATAAAGGTGTTTTGTATAAAGTAAAACCTGTGTACAGTGAACATCTATAGAGCCACAAAAAAGATTTCAATACAGAAAGACAATTTGTATTGGAATCAAGGTATGTGCTGAAAATAGGGTGTTCATTTTACACAGGTGTTCACTAGAGAAAGGTGTTCACTAATCCAGGTCCCACTGTATTAGGCTTATGTCATTTAAAAGACATTCACTAGCTACAAGTAAAACAAGGCATTAACATGACAAAATGTCACCACCTAGTTGAAACAAGATAAAAAATACCTTTTTGACCTTGAGGAGGTCACTAAAGGTCAAATCTATTTTGACCTTTAGAATGTCATTTAATGATCAAATCTATATTCTTAAATCTTAAGAAGGTCATTGAAGGTCAAATCTCAAACCTTAAGTCAGATTTGAACTTCTGATAACTTATAGATGATTTTGAAAAAATGGTTAACTTGAAGCAAGTTGAAAAAAGACTTTTTCTGACCTTGAAAAGGTCATTGAAGGTCAAATCTTAAATATAGTCAGATTTGAACATCTGAAAACACGTAGATGATTTTGAAAACAATTGAAGTCAGTCTATACAGTATTTGTTAATTATTTTAAATTGTAAGAATTTGTCAGACACCAATTGCCAAGCTCCAACCACAAACCGCCGACCACTGACCACTGTCAAAAAAGAACAGAGACCATAACAATATGTCACCACTTTTTGTTGGTGACATAAAAATGATAACATGATATGAACCATCCTCCTAAGCAGGTGTCCAGAATCCGTACCTCCTTCTTCCCCCTGCGATAACCAATTTGGACGCGCCTGATTTAACTGAATCACGTGATCTAATTATGCACAATGACTTATACATGATTTCTGTCGCAGTGTTGCGACAGCCAATCAGATTGCGAGTTCTTAATCGGGGAAATGGTAACTGCTTATTGATGGGGGTAAAAAGAAAGAATATGTTCTGGATTTTGAAGCCCTGTGATCGGAGGATGGATATGAACATGAAGTATTTATTTTTAGATGAACATGCCAATATGGCCACGCCCTTCTTAAAAGGGAAAGAGGGGAGAGGTAAATTGACCCATATAGGCAAAAAACATGTTAGAGTTTGAGTTCTTTCTTTATGGTAATATGTTGGGGACATGTTGGTGCTACTTTTAGGAAAGTTCCATTAATATTAAACTGAGATTGATTGAGAAATTGAAAAATCAATTCCAATCAATGTCTCTCAACCCCCCTAAATTCTATGATTTTAGGGTGAAAAAATGTTGCTGTTTTTAAATAAAGTTAAAATTCTTAAAAATTTTTACGTATGCATTTCAAGTATGATTACTCTTAACAGAAACACCAAAAGAAAGAAGCATTGGTTGTTTAGTTTTTGTTTTATAGTTAAATAATAATGTACCCCCAAGAAATCTGAATTTTAGGGTCGAAAATGCAATTTTAACATCTTTCGCACCATTTGCGGCGCATAAGACCAGTAAAATCTGTTGAGATAGACCTAAATACATAACCTAAGTCACAAGAGAAATTGTCCCGACAACACCCTGATCGAAGTGCCTCAGATCGCTACCTAACAGGTATATGTACAGGGTGAGCCAAAGGGGTAATCCAAACAAATTTTAATATCTCAGTCATACAGCATGGGATTAAAGTCATATTAGCACGGGTGTTAAAACACGATTCAAACATGACCGTGCTCTATTCGAATTTCCCAACCAATCAGAATGCAGCATAGCCAATATAGAACGTTCTCTAATTCTCCATAGATGCACGACCATGCTCTATTCAATCTGCAATTTGCATTGTTTTGAGTGACGTCACATCTCAGCTGCACATCTGGGGCTTGCTCCGGGGATAGCTGTTCTTTTTTACTCCCTCCGTAACTATTTTATTTTATCAACACCCCATGTTTGCATACACCGTATAAAATCTAAAACGGGGAGTAAAATAGAACAGCCCAAACAAATTCTAAAATTTTTCCGGCCGACTTCAGAATCTTGACGGCATGCGTATTCTTCCTTCATGCCCGTTCCACAGACACGGCTTTTACTAATTTTTATGTTTGAATCGGAATAAATAATGATAGGCCATTCAATATGGTGAAATTCAGCACTCGTTGGACAGAATGTTAGTACAAATGCACTCACCTTCGGTTCGTGCTTTGTACAACATTCTGTCCAACTCGTGCTGAATTTCACCATATTGAATGGCCTATCATTATTTATTCCTTAAATATACCATGAGCACATGCTTTGAGGATCCGCGTTGTTTGAACCTACCGCCGAGCACACTTATACATTAAGACCCGTTACACAGTCATGATACCGCCGAGCAAGCTCATTGCATCATCGTGTCTGCTTTACCCCCGTGTATTAGCACAATTTGTCAGATGTTCTTTCATTTAAGTTTTATTGGTCACGATTTTATGGTCATTTTACAAAACACTACAATTATTATAGCAAGATAATTTGTAATGTCTTTCATCTTCCTTCTCATCTCTTGTTTCAATATTTCAATGGTTGTTAGTGCAGACATTAGTCCAACAGATAAAAATGCGGGGATTCATTACTTATTCCGGTACGGAGATTGTGGCATGTTTCGGTATTTGGAGCATATTTTATAAATGTCCATAGAATCGTGGAACGTGGTAGCTAGAACAGTGGACAAGGTTTAATCTTGGGGGTCATAGCCACTACAACCCGAACGAATGCACTAAACGCAAACTTGCGAATTGGGTAAATTGTCAATTTTGGTGATTGGGAACGTAAACATGCGATCCGAAGCGCATCTTTGTGCAAAACTAGTATTGCTTCCGAAGACGTCCGAAACTTTCAGAAAGGGTATTTCCACATAGCCTACGAACACTCAAACGATGTACAACGTATATTTACTAATGGGAACAACTTTTACTCAAGTCCCATTTGCCAGTACATGCAAATTGACGTCGAGAGGCTTTTTAATTCGTTCATGTGTGAACAGGCCTTTATTAAATCCATGCTGTTGAACGTCTAAGAAACTAACATACATTTATTTGTGTAACCTCTCTTTTGGCCCACTCTGTATAAAACCTTGTTCTAACTACAGGAATATCCCATTCCAATGTGCAGGGCGCTCTTCAATTTTCTTGAATCCATCATATCGCCTTGACAAACATATTTATTGCGCTGTTGTGCGGAAGAAGGTCACGGTAAACGTCTAATTAGACTGTTTTATCTACAGCATTCTACCGTAAAACACAAAAGCATTGACGCAAGTTCAGTTGCTTACGTTTTTATACGATACTCAAATTACATACACATTACATACAAGTCATTTCAATAACAAACTAATTTCAAATTCTGCAGTAAACCTCATGAGTGAAGAATTTAAATATAGTGATTTAAACGTTAAAAGGTAAAATTACATTGATCGCTGAGTCAATGTCTCTACTCCCACTCCACACATCTTTTAGTAAATGCCACTTTCTCCGTTATTGAAGTTAATCGAGCATTAAACCTTTTGAGCAAATTCAATGAACGGTTAAAATATATCATTTAGAAATATTGAATCACTAGATACCATTCCCCAAAATTACTTAAAAATACGTCAACAGCCAAGAGTTGTGGCTATAACGGAAAAATCCAAGCAACACATTTTGATAAATCATGAAATTAAGTGACTATTGCAAGTTTCTAGCAATGAAGTCAATCGAAGTGTGGCCCGACCAAACCCAAGACAAACAAGTGTGAAATCCATTATGTCAGCTTTATTCAGTTATATAGAAACTATGCTATTTTGAATACGTCACTCGTTGTCTAAGGACTTCTCCGTTGACATATAACATGGAATTATAATTAAATTATTTAACATAAGATAAAGAGTGCACATGGTGATATTGCACAGAGATTTAAAAAAAAATCTGATTCAGCCTCAATTAACCCTAATGACGCAAACACACGACACGATACCGTCAACAGTCCAACCATTTAGCAAATGTGCTGTAATATCGTCCACCTTTGTTGTAGGTACTGGAATAGTTGGATGGTTGTGACATCACAGCCCTTCTATTACAGGTGGCTCACCTTCATTTCACTTGCCATCATGTATAACATCAACTTGATCATCGCTAGATCTGTCTTTAAAGAGCTACAGGTAAAAAAACTAAAGTAGAAAGTACTCGTACTACATGTATGTATTTTACGTATTACATAGATTTATCAATAACCCATTAAAATTCCAAGGTGTGTAATCACCCCTCTCAACGCTCATCTACGACCCGATTACTTCCTCGTTAATTTGAAATTTAAGTAATTTATACTAATTAACTTGTAATCTTTGTTTGCAGGTAAACTACAGAATATTATGGCTAACGTTGGACTACATCAGCGATGTGATATATATCATAGATATGGTTGTGCAGCTCAGAACAGGTAACAGTATACTGAGTAAACAATTGCAAAAATGTAAAAAGGGAAAATACAAAATCTCGCGGTACTAACTTCGGTGTTAATTTGAATTTTTGACCTACCAGATGTTTGAAAATCAAATATTGCGAGTCCGATATTGCACCGTTTTTCTTCGAACTTGTTCCATTCAAAGCAAAGCGTTTTTGGTCCCCAGCTTTTAGAAACGCTTGTCATAGCTGGGGACAAAAATGCCACTGGAAGTAGGGACTCTGTATAATAGAATAATGTACCAACAGAAAGGCAATTTTGTTATGCTTTGAATTCTTGATTTTCTGAAATCTGGTAGGTAAAAAATAAAAATTAACGGTCGAAGTTAGTACCAAGTGAAAAAGTATTACAAAAATAGATACAAAAAGAACATCTAAGAGAAGAATCACAAATCCAAATATAACATTTTTGATCTTTTTAATATCGTATAGAATCACAGGTGTCGTGTAAAATTACTTTATAAATAAAAAGGCGATTTTTTAGTTGAAATTACTTAATGTAAACACTAATAAGGTATACCGTAGATACCGACCGTATTACGTTACTAAAATGGCCCTTTACAAAGATACCGAACGGTATCACTACTAAAACAACCTATTATGAAGGGTAATTTTACATGACACGGGTGATAGCATATGCATTTGAATGGATTAGAATATTGCATAATCAATAAAATGTGTACGTCCCATCATTCGAGATGGATACGTCCTTTTACTTCTTCAATCATGTGAATAAGCATTTTCCAAAATTGTCGTCAATGATGGACCATTTTGAAGATAAGGTAGTATGAGGCTATTTTCCATGGAAGAAGCACATGCCTGACGAAAAGAAACTATAACCTTTTTTTACTAGCCAAACTAAAACAGACCAGAACTGACTATGTTCAACATTTTTATTGTTGTCATGTTAATAAAATGCAGATTAATGGCTACAAAAAGAAAAATCCGCATGATATATGATGGATTGCTATTACATTTGGAGATATTGCTCAAACGATCCAAAAGAAGGTTATTTTATTCGATATAGAGGACTACGTGTCTACCTGATGCGAACTTGTTTCCTACTCTGATCCACCATTGACTGAACATCTTCTCTCACAGTGTGACAAGTGTCTCTCCAACATAATCACGAACGCGTACTATTCATAATTTAGGGATGATTATCTCTTCTCCCAGATGGTAAATGGCTCTGTAGTCGCCTTATTTACCTTATTTATATCTTGTTTGTGCCATGATAATTGAATTGGATTGTGGTTTAATGGGCCTTTGTTTAACAGTCCATATACATCGCAGCTTTTTTAAAGCGCAGAAAATTTCTATAGCTATCAACGGTGTATTGCTTTATTTGTGAAATGATATAAAATGATTCTCAAGTGGTCGCCATGGCTACTAAAACGACATATGTAACAATGTCCCAAATGGCCGGTGTAAAAGGGTTGGAGGTCCTATCAAATTATGGTCCTACTCTCCATATGGTGACCTCAATACAACTCTTTCCCTCATTATCTTATACGCCATCAGGGCCAGTAAGGGCCGTTTAGAAAGGGGACCATAATCCCTGGGGGACCATCATGTGTACCTTTACTAATTCATTTTACCTGATAAATTCATTATTTTTTTTACTTTCCTAGGTTATCTAGAGCATGGCTTACTTGTGAGGGACGCAACAAAGATGAGAAAACATTACATCAAAACATTGACGTTCAAACTAGACCTCATATGTATATTACCAACAGATCTAATTTATATCTACACTGGGGTCGACGCTGCTCCATATTGCAGATTCAACAGGCTCTGCAAGTTCTCTCGTCTCATGGAGTTCTTCGATCGCACTGAAACTCGGACGAGCTTTCCTAACTTGTTCAGAATAATGAATTTGATATTGTATATTTTGATAATCATCCATTGGAATGCGTGTATTTACTTCGCCATTAGTAATAACATTGGGTTTAGCAGTGACGAATGGGTATACAATATGTCCACGCCAGAATGGCAGACATTAACTCGGCAATATATTTATAGTTTCTATTGGTCGACATTGACTTTGACTACTATAGGGGAAACCCCACAGCCTCAACTAGATTCAGAGTACTTATTCGTTGTAATTGACTTTCTCATCGGTGTGTTGATCTTTGCCACCATTGTCGGTAACGTCGGTAGTATGATCACAAACATGAACGCTGCCAAAGCGGAGTTCCAACAGCGCATGGACGGCGTTAAACAATACATGGAGTTCCGAAACGTCAGTAAGGAGTTAGAAAGCAGGGTAATAAAATGGTTCGATTACCTCTGGAGCAATAAACAATCTCTAAACCAAGAGGAAATTTTAAATACCTTGCCTGATAAACTCAAAGCTGAAATTGCGATCCATGTTCATTTAGAGACACTCAAAAGAGTCAGTATTTTTCAAGACTGTGAGCCAGGATTGCTCGTAGAAATCGTGCTCAAATTGAAGCTCAGTGTGTATAGTCCAGGCGACTATATTTGCCGCAAGGGGGATATTGGACGGGAGATGTACATAGTTAAACGCGGGAGACTTAGCGTTGTCGCCGATGATGGTAAAACTGTGTTTGCTACTCTTTCAGATGGAAGTGTATTCGGTGAGGTCAGTATTCTTAACATAGCAGGTAATAAAACAGGAAATAGGCGAACAGCAAATGTAAGAAGTATAGGATATTCCGATCTGTTCGTTCTTAGTAAGGACGAACTTTGGGACGCCTTGACGGAATATCCCGAGGCAAAGAAAAAACTTATTGAACGCGGCCGTGAGATCTTAAAGAAGGACAATCTGTTAGATGAAGAAGCAATGAGAGAGGCAGAGAAGCATCAAGAGTCAATGGGAGATAAGATCACGAGAGTAGACACAAGTCTTGAAATACTTCAAACAAGATTCGCTCGTCTTCTTGGTGAATTCAACGTAACCCAACAAAAACTAAAGCAAAGGATAACAAAATTAGAAAAAACTGTAACGAAAGAAGATGATTTGTTTTCTCATCTCTCTGGTATATCGGGAAACGATCAAAGTGACTCAAAGATTTGAGATTTTGGTGCCACGAAATTTCAGAGTACGTTGTATCTGATATACTCAAAAATTGTCCTGTGCCGAATGGTTTTAAGAGAATAAAACATGCCTACAGAGATTGGAGATTTAAATATTCGATGTCAGCCTCGTCGTGATGTGCATTATAATTCAGTGAATTATGTATACTGTTATTTTCATTGTTAATGAATTTAGAAGGCATTAAGTATTGTACATGTTTTACATGCTATATCCTTAAGCATTTTCGTCAGGCCTTGTGGGAAAACGTATTTAACGTATAATGGAATATTCAGAGTTGCTGGTCAACTTGCGAGCAAAGAGAAATTAGATTCTTCGAAAGCGACGAGGATTTTGAACTGGCTTTTAAGATCAATGCAAATATTTGTTTTTGTGAATATTGCACACGGACAAGCAGATCCCAAAAATTCTAAGTGTAAATAATACACTGCAAACTGCGAAGTCAATGATATGACATTGTAGATAATGGTGAAACGAATATATCTGAATGATACTTGATATCATATTCTCAGGAAAATATAAAATTTTGTATTTTTCAACACACTTTGAGATACAGGACGAAATACTATTCTCTATTCTCAATTATGGTAGACTCGCCAAGCAAAAATAACACTCAATTTTGATAAATAAGATGAAATGTGAAAGGATCGGGGAATAAGTGTAAGCAATTACTGACTCTATTCAAAAATGTAAAATTACATTTGATGGCCTCTCCCAACATGTTGTTGTCGTAAACAATGGTAAATGTATTTTATGTCTCGAATTCTGTTCAATCTAAAGAAATGTACAATACATTTAGTGTAACAACATGAAAATATAGTTGTATTTTAAAAATCTGTTTGCGTCAATATTAAGACGTAAGTGCTACGTCGTGTTATACCAATTACGTACCCTTAAATAGACCTTATCAATAATTTTTATGTGATACGTGACGTCACAATATCTAGAACAAGTGATTTATATTGGAGTATGTATGACCTCTAAAATTCATAAATGCAAATACTTGTGTTGTGTTTACAATATTAGAATCGTAACAAAGACCTCGATTTTTTAATTCTTTATGTTAAATATATGAACTCAAATTGTATTCTGGCCAATGTCAAAGACCTCAATCGCTACGCGATTTCGGTCTTTTAACAATGAACAGAATAACATTCATATGTTACGCCATAAATCATAAAATCTCGGTCTTTATTCCTTAAACAATGCCAATTTTTGCTACATCAAGAAAGCTAGGATATGTTTAATAGCTAGATTCACGAGGGGAAATGTACCCGTGTATATACAACCTACCGCCGAGCAAAGACCCGAAGATGTCTGAAAATGTAGGGGATAAGTTAAAATGGATAATAATTGATTTAAATGCAGTTCATTCGCTCTCAAGCTCGACTAAAATATCAGTACAACGGCTCCTAAAATGAAGGAAGATCATATTCATAATTGATTTAAATGCAATTCCGCGCTTTTCCTATCCTTCAATGTTGATAGCCTAATTTCTGTTGTGTCAGTCTGGGTCAAAATGTTACAATAGTATTAATAACGAATAACCCTTCTAATAAAGGCAATTAAATCAAGGTTCGAAAACTCCCAAAAGTAACACTAACACTATTTCATCATCAGCATGTCACACTGTGGCTAGTCGATCTATGAGGATGCAGTCAGGCACATGTAATGTTTCATGAGTACCCGCCTCTGTACTTTTCAATGGAAGAATTTTGCTCTTCTGTTTAAATAATCTATATTTACTCATCCGTGTATATCATACTTCATTGATTTATAAAACCAAAGCTACGCTATAAACACACATTCTCTGATATTTTTACGGAGAATAGATAACTCAAACGAGTTCACTCGACCAGTTTTATCATCTCGCTCACAGCTGTGAGAAGGCTGTATAATTTGCCATAGGTTTACCTTGTAATGGGGAATAAAAAATTCAAGTAATATAATTATTTCACATATAGACAAATATGTCTGTGTGAAGTAAATTACAAATACAATGCGTTCTATAATATTTTTGGGGTTATGGTATGAAATATCCGCTTTAAAAAAGCAATTTAATTATGATGTATCATGTGGATTAGTAGACGTTCTGATTGGATTCATTGAACAGACTGGCTAGGTTTCAATTGAATCATTTTGAATGTGTGTATGTTTAATATTTTAATCCACAGTGTCAAAAAACAATAATAATGCTATATTGGTAATTGGAAAGATTCCACTTACCACGATTTCAAAAAATTGTAAATAGATAATATTATTCTTGAATTATGGTCATTTGTTTCAAGGAATCTGGAGGCTCGTTCAGCTGAGCTGACAAAATCATCAAGATTTACGGATGGTAATCTGTTGGCTGCTCATTGTCATTTTCAAGGAATGTTAATGGCTCTGAAACTTGTAGCCTTGCCCTAGTCGGTATTTATTTACTTATCTGATCTTAAATTATTACAACCTTAAACAATCCAATGCAGCATCGCTGATATTATGCTAAGTTATTCAGCGGTTTCGAGATTCCCATAATACCTAGGCTACCTAACGGTATCGCAAAACCATATTGATTGACAATATGGACATGGACACAACGTGTGACTTCAGGCTGATTGACCAATCAAAATGTTATCAGGTTGACCTGCATAAAAAAGCAAACTACCCATCTAGGACTTGAAATTCAATGATCTGATCGAGTGTTTCTTGAGAGTTACAATATATTATGTTATTAAATGTACATTGGAATGTAAGCAGTCATTAATACTCGTCTAAATGAAATCATGCAATTCAATGTTGATTCAAAATCAAAACTGAATTCTCGAAGAAATGCACGAAGACCTAGTCCGGCAATGTAGGCTCGTCGTTGATTTGTCAAATTGTACCGACAAAAACATTGGGTCGGTAAAGCACGCGGCTTTCTCTAAGGTACAAGGTGATCATAATAGAAATCAAGATAAGTAAAAGAGACCGACTTGGGCAAGGCTATGAAACTTGATTTGTGGGTATTCCAGTGGGTCGATGGGTCGTTTGCTCTGAATTCACTTCATTGGCGTACCTAATTTCAACATTTTCATTGTCATCATTACATGTTATGGACCCGTTTTTCAAATTAACAGTATTAGCGATAAAACCATAGTTTTTGGCTCACAAAGTAAGCCTATGGGATCGACCAGGCGTCCTTCCATTGGTCCGTCCGTTGGTCCGTCCGTCTGTCAACATTTGCTGCACAAATTTTCCGAGAAATTGCTGAATTTTAAATTTCGAGAAAAATCGATCTGATGATAGCCTTATAGAAAGTCAAGAGAAGTGAAGAAAAGATTGAAAAAATACCAGTCCAGTCCATTTCCAGGTCCAAGTCCAGGTCCAAGTCAAGGTCCAGTTCAGGTCCAAGTCCAGATCTAGGTCTAATCAGGTTTTATCTAGGTCAAAGGTCAAGAACTAGGTCAAATCCAGTACTTTGTCATTTTTTCAATTTTCTCAGTCGTCCTTCAATATTTTTGCTCCGTTTTTTAATCATGTTCCTTGGAAAAAAGCTAATCCCTACAGGCAAGTTGTTTTTGATCACTCTTACCGTTTTTGAGATATGGCATCCGAAAAGTAGGTCACAATAAAAACTTCTTGGAATTCAATGTACGAAATGTTATGAAATATGTGTAGAATTGTCCAAAGAATCCGAATCTGCAAACCAGATTTTGATCCGACTTTCGGTTCGGAAGTTATGGCATTTTGAAATCTCAAAAATCGCTATTTTGGTATCCCATGTTAAGTCAATGGGGCTTGAGAAAATTATCAATTGTAACAACACAACACTAGATACAGCTTGGATGCTGCCAACTTAATAAGAATCTACAATAGAAGCCGTCCTCAAAATCTACTTTCCTTCAAAATTTGGACACTAAAAGGCCTAGGTCAAAATCTAGGTTAAATTCATAGTTTTTCCTTTGACTACAACAAATCATATCTGAACCAACAACAAAGGACTCATCTTTCATTGATCTCATATTTACCAATACTTTTGTTTGAACATCAGGATATACATTCCTCTGAAGGTTCTACACTGTGTGAGCAGGATCGTGGGTCCTTTATTTCATCTGTAATGGCATTTTCCAGTTGATGGGTTTATATATAGTATTTTCAATTTTTCATGAGGGTGTCTTTAGGCTACTTGTAATGGGGTGGCTAATTACTTTAATGAGTAAGGAATGTTTATCCGAACAATGTATACAAAGAAAATCTGGCCAGTTGTCCATCAGTAAATAAATCATCATGATAAAAGTATAATTCATTAAAGCATCCATTTGTTACCGTTCTGAATCCAAATGATACATAGGTGTATCCATTTTATACATATATGTTGACGTTTACGAAATGTTTTTCAAATATCTTCTCTATAACAGGAATATGGTAGCTGAAAATTTCACACATTGTCATACTATGTATATTGAATATGTATGCAAGATTTCAAGTCACAGTGTTAAGTAGAAACTCTGAGATCACTTACCTCGATTTGCTGTCATATTTTTGCAATGATCCCATTCCCTATAATGTACGCGATTACCCACGATACATTACATATAAATGACTGCATCCACATAGATCGACTAGCCGCAGTGTGTCATAGACTCGACGATATAATCGGATCTCAACAAATTTTACTCAAGTAATGTTCGGATCTGAAATCATTTACTCAAGATATTTTCGGATCTCTATAATATTACTCGTCGATCACATCGGATCTTTTAGGACAAAGTTTATGTGAATATTTTGCTGTTCAAAAGTGCTATTTAGACCTAATATTTTGACACTTAATATATTATACATATGACATACAGTAACCGACCCAAGTATGTCTTATGTATGGCTCATTATCAATTAAAGCGAGTATAAATGAGAAAAATAAATCGAAAACCATTATACGTTTAACTTATCTCTTAATTTGGACATAACAAATATATTTCAACTATAATTCTAGGCCAATTCCGCCTGATAGAACATCTTAGTAACGATTCTAACAATCCAAGGGAATTGATAGAGGTCAAATATTACCTTTATTGTCCATTTTCCTATGAGATGTAGTTAACCAAACATTTGATAGGCGGTATATGCGTGTCTTGCTCGGCGGTAGGTTGTACATACACGGGTACACTTTCCCCTCGTGTAGATTGATGAGGAAATAAGTTGAAAGTAGCTACAATTTACCCACTTTATTTTAGATACTTTGATACCCAAGCAATAGGTGGCAGGGTTTTATTGGAATGCGGAAAATGAATA